CTGAAAGTGGGATTAAAGTCAGATGATGAGGATTATGATAGTTGAGACAAACCTGTTGAAGATCTGTTCTATCTAACTGTTCATCTGTTTGGGGGGGTCACAGTGGTGTACCTGTGACAGGGGTAGTAGTCTGGAGCATTAGTTGCTGCTTGAGATCACATGATTGACATCAGTCATTTTTCAGTTAGACCAGTGCGCATGCAGACAACATGGTTGTGATTGTAAAGTGCGATCTTGGTTGGCCCCAGAACACAGGAACATGGATGTAAGACTGATTGTGTTCCTTGTGTTGACAGGATGATAATCAGTGTCAGATAATTTAAATCAGTGTAGATGATATTGGTAAAGATGAGTAAGTATCAAGGCAATAACGTTTAGTTTTTATTTCTGATAATCGTGCATTTTTTAAAGTTTATCCCTTATGTAATGGTGTGGCTAAAAAAATCCATTTGGGGCAAAATTTAGCCAGTAATTTCCATGTAACTTTTTTTATACTGCAGCAAATGGGATGATTTTTTGGGCAGATGCCTATATTGATGGACACTTTGAAAATATGACTTCAAAATTTTCACCAGGTCAAAAATACAGGCTGGGCAAATTTTCTATTCTTTGTTTCCCCTCCATGGCTAAAAAAAGCCACTTACTTTGACTGCTGTAAAACATATTGGGTTAATATTTTTTTTCTCCATTTTTTTCATATATCTCTTAAGTAACTTCTGCTTTGATCAAAACTAGTAAATGTTTCATATAAAAACATTTTTTAACCCTTTGAGGCTCCATTCAAAGCATAATGTCACTGATATGGTAGACATATACACAAAAATGACCTATTTTCATCATAAAGCATAATCAGAAACAGGTGATTTTTTACATGTTGCATAGTCTTGGCCTTGTGAAGGATTAGGAACCTCAGAAACTATGATACATTTTGTGTAATGTCTAATTTTCATAGAAACTTTCACAAAACACTCATAAAAACACTTGCACTATTCATGTCTTTTCTATACTCGCATTCTCTTTCGGTACCAGCTTGGTCGTAATGTGCTGAGCCAGAACTCAGCTCTGTGTGTGTGTGTGTGTGTGTGTGTGTGTGTGTGTGTGTGTGTGTGTGTGTTCAGTGTTTGAAGCAAGACCTGCAGGAGATCACTCTGTGTTCATGCCAGATGTGTTTCACACATAAATCACATGTTTTGTTAGTTCTTTTTGACACCAAAGCCGTTCCCAGGTCCTCCACGAAAAGCCTCCTCCTGAATCACTTTCTCCAGTTCCAGGAGAGATCCACATCTCACAGCGAGGCAGTAGATTCACCCCTCGAACAAAACAGGCCAGACAATGATGATGGATCCTGTGGGGGGTCAGATTCCATCCTGTCAGAATCAATGACAATTGCAAGGGCATCCGTGGTGCTGAAGCTTCTCTTCATGTTTTCTCTTGCTCTTCTCATGAAACAATGGTCATTAGAATCTGCAAGTTGTGGATTGCAGGACAGCTCACTTTTGTTTTTGTTTATTTTTTTCCCCCTCTCTGTATTTCTGAGAGCTGAAGAACATAGTTAACTTTTGTGACGAGGTCAGTGCTGGGTCATGACCTGCAGGCTCCTCCCCTCTCTCTCTCACATGCACACACTTGATGCACGCACGCACACACGCACGCAAACACACATTTTTTGGGGCTTTGTCTGGCCTGTTTGGAAACACATCTGGCATGAACACAAAGAGATCTCCTGCCGGACTTCCTTCAAACATTGAACTCACTCACTCACTCACTCACTCACTCACTCACTCACTCACTCACTCACTCACTCACTCACTCACTCACTCACTCACTCACTCACTCACTCACTCACTCACTCACTCACTCACTCACCACCACTCACTCACTCACTCACTCACTCACTCACTCACTCACTCACTCACTCACTCACTCACTCACTCACTCACTCACTCACTCACTCACTCACTCACTCACTCACTCACTCACTCACCACTCACTCACTCACCCACTCACCACTCACTCACCACTCACCACCCCACTCACCACTCACTCACTCACTCACCACCACCACCACTCACCACTCACTCACTCACCACTCACTCACCACCACCACCACCACTCACCACCACCACCACTCACCACCACTCACTCACTCACTCACTCACTCACTCACTCACTCACTCACTCACTCACTCACTCACTCACTCACTCACTCACTCACTCACTCACTCACTCACTCACTCACTCACTCACTCACTCACTCACTCACTCACTCACTCACTCACTCACTCACTCACTCACTCACTCACTCACTCACTCACTCACTCACTCACTCACTCACTCACTCACTCACTCACTCACTCACTCACTCACTCACTCACTCACTCACTCACTCACTCACTCACTCACTCACTCACTCACTCACTCACTCACTCACTCACTCACTCACTCACTCACTCACTCAAACAAACAAACACACACTTTTACATTTTATCTCTCTTTGCTCACTCAATTTCTCACACATTCGCTCTCTTAGGCTCCCCAGGTTTCTTTCAGTCCTCTCCACCGCTTCACCCTCAAAAGTTAGTCGTTTGTTCTGGTTTGATACTCTGTTGTTGTGTATTTATGGCTTTATTTTATTGCATTTTGAGCGATAAAATATGGTTTGGTTCTAATGTTAACATTGGTTACATTTTTTCATTTTTTCCTAATATTAGTGACTTTATGTTTTAAATTGGCCCTTAAAGGGTTAAAATTTTGATTTTTAATGACACATTTACTAGTTTTGAATACAGCAGAAGTTAATTAAGAGATGTGTGAAAAAAATCTAGAAAAAATATGAATCCAATATGTTTTTACAGCGGTTAATGTCAGTGATTTTTTTTAGCCACTGAGCATTAACAACTGATCTAAATCTAACGGTTTCACAAGGGTTATGTATGCTGTCAAACAAAATATAATATTGTTGGCTTATGTTTTTTTATTAATCAACATGTCTGAGATCAATTTTTAAATTGATTGTAACTGTGTAATTGAGTTTGTAATTAATCAGTCATATCCATGATTGACCTTTTATATTTATTCTCAGGTGCTGAGGTGAAAACAGGCTGTGAACTAGCAAAGCCCAAGGTCATGAAGACATCTTTGGGCTCTGAAAATCAAGAGGTACACTACAATTTAGCATAAAATGTGTATAAATACACACAAGATCAACTATGCATATCCTCGGTCTTAAAACCTTGATCTTTAAATTATTGAGGTAGTTCTATATTTAATAGGCCTTGGTGTCTCAGCACATACAGGATATTTTTGTCACAGCAGCCCAGCTTTCCTTTGTTGTCTTGTGTAATAAAAGAAAAAGGGGAATAGATGTTCAATTTGGTTCACCATTGTAGTTAAAACTATATTTTCTGTTTTTTGCAGGCCCAGTAGCATCTGCTTCGTCATCTGGACAAGCTAAAAGATCATCACAATGTCTGTGAACGGCGATTTGAGAAGGCACAGGCTGAAAAGATGCAAACGGAGAGGCAGAGCACATTCGGTCCTGAAGGCTTGAACGAACTGGTAAGTTTGAAAAGGGGGTGTGTGATAATTTTTCATTTAATTGTCAGATCTTAAGCTTGATTTTATAATGTTTTTCTAAATAGAAAAAAATTTTTAGTTATCCAAAATTAGTAAATGTAAAAATAACTCAGAATAGGATCCGATTATTAGATCAATGGTTATGTGGCATATCTTGACTGTGTATCTATATATACATATCTTTAAATTTACTGTAGCATCCTGGTTGATTTATGGTCTGACTCTCCAACTGATGTTTCACAAAGTTTTATTTTTAAAATGGTTCCTTTAAACTTCCATCTTTAAACTTCCATTAAAGAGTGTGAACACACCGCAAGAGCTAGCGAAAAAACAATAGGAACAATATTAATACACTTTCTGTAACAGAAAATCGTTTGATTAAAATTATATATTTTATACACCTTCAAGAACAATGAAATCAACTTTCTTGTGTTAACTGTGTCATCTGTGTTAACTGTAACCATCATCGTAACTGTAGCATCTTTACTAGTACTCAGCAACACGAAACTCGATCAAATTTCATAAAAACTCTTAAAAAGGCACTTCATATTAATTTGTGTGAGAAAAGAAGCATATGTTGTGCCTCTATCAACCAGGTACTTTACAACTTAAGAGATCCTTATTGACGATTGTGATCCTGACTTTTCATATCTTTTACTGTTCATTGACTTCTAACTTCCGGTGAAAATTCTTTCAAAATAAGGGGATCGGTCTCTGTTATATTACTCACAGGAAATAGAATAATCGAAAATAGGGATTTTAACTTCAAAATAAGACTGCTGATACAAACACATAATGTGGTTCATTTACATTTAGAATAGCATGAAAAAGTTTAATACTTTTTGTCACTTATTTCAGAAAATGAAACCTAGTCCCTTTTCTCTTTTTTGCTTTCCATGACCCAGGTTCGCTGTACACAGCTCAGAATCAAGTCACACACCCTAAATTTAACCTTTAGTGTGAGTGTTTCAACTAACTGAATTCATTTGCATGAAAGGTCTATCATTGGTGATGTAGCTGGTTACTGAAAATCCTATCATTAAAATCAGTGTAGATGATTTTGGTAAAGATGAGTAAGTATCAAGGCAATAACGTTTAGTTTTTATCTCTGATGATCGTGCATTTTTTAAAGTTTATCCCTAATGTAACGGTGTGGCTAAAAAAAGCCACTTGGGGCAAGATTTAGACTTAAAAACAGGCAACTGGACTGTGTAGAGTTGAGAAGGCGTTTTGCCTCTTATCCAAGAAGCTTCTTCAGTTCTAAAATTGCTAGTGTGAGGAGCAGATATTTATCTTACTGGAGAAGGGAACAGACAACGACTGGGAGGTGTTGGAAAGAATGGGTCGTAGAAAACCCATATCTGGGTGTCTCTCTTTCCACCTTGCTTACCAACCTTGCTTACCTAACCTTTCAGGTTTGGTAAACACACACACACATGTTCACTCATACACACACACACACACACACACACACACACACACACACACACACACACACACACACACACACACCACCTTCTACTTTTGTTGATGTATTTTGAGCAATAAAATATGGTTGTGTTCCAATCTTATATTGTTTGTTACACACACACTCACACATACACGCACACACATGCACGCACGTGCACACAAACACACACTGAATTCTGTCTCACACATTACTACCACCTGCAGTCAGTGAAAGAGAATGCTCTGATGTTAGTATAGGGAATGCACTTATAAAACCACTTAATGCAGTTTTTATGAAAATCTGTTACACAAAAATGTACCAAACATTCTGATGTTTCTAATCCTCCACATGCCCAAGCCTATGCACCTTGTAAAAAATCACCAGCTTCGGATTATGTTTTATTAAAAAAATAGGTCATTTTCCTTCCTTTTTTTTTTTTGCTTGATAAGTGACTTTAGGTCTGAAATGGGCCCTTATAGGGTTAAAATTTTTATTTTCAATGAAACATTTGCTAGTTTTGAACAGGGCAGAAGTAAAATAAGAGATGTATGAAAAAAATATGAAAAAAACATTAATCCAATATATTTTACAGCAGACAAAGTAGTTTTGGCCACTGAGGGACGCCAAAGGGAGTTTTTTATTAAACCTGATGCTACAGAAAAACTAAAAAGGGAATAAAGTCAATGATATTACTTATCTTTGACATATTCAAGACTTTGATTACCTGCGGGAGATCACCAGTTTTTGATGATGTTTTTTGATGTTTATGTCTGATTAAGTATTGGCTTTTTTGGCCACTGAGAGGCACTAAAGGGACAGAATTTGTCCTGGCTTTAGTATTGACCCGGTGAAAATTTTGACTTCATGTTTTCAAAGAGTATGTCAAATTGAGCATAAAAAAAACTCACCAATACAAACTACGATCATAACAAGAAGCCAACACATCAAAAGAACACTTAAACAACAGCTAAACACAGGGGGTAACAAACTCAACAGATGCATGCCAAAACACATGCTCACAAACCTTCAAACTTGCCAAAACATACAATGATCATAACAACAAGCCAAACTCTTTAAAAGAACACTACAACAACAGCTAAACACAAGGGTATACTAATTCAACACATACATGCCATAACACATGCTCAAAAACCTTCAAATTCCCCAAAACAAACAATGATCCTAACAACAAGCCAAACTCTTTAAAAGAACACTTAAAATACAATTTAGCACAAGGGGTAGCAAATTCAACACATACGAGCCATAACACATGCGCACAAACCTTCAAACTCATCAAAAGAAGACTAAAACAACAGCTTCACACAAGGGTTAACTAATTCAACACATACATGCTATAACACATGCTCAGAAACCTTCAAACTCGCCAAAACAAACAATGATCATAACAACAAGCCAAACTCATCAAAAGAACACCAAAACAACAGCTTCACACAAGGTTTAAATAATTCAACACAACCATGTCATTACACATGCTCACAAACCTTCAGACTCGCCAAAACAAACAATGTCCATAACAACAAGCCAAACTCCTTAAAAGAACACTCAAAATACATCTTAACACAAGGGGTAGCCAATTAAACACATACATGCCATACCACATGCTCAGAAACCTTCAACTTCGCCAAAACAAAAAATGTTCATAACAACAAGCCAAACTCTTTAAACGAACACTTAAAATACAGCTTAACACAAGGGGTAACCAAATCAACACATACGTGCCAAAACACATGCTCAAAAACCTTCAAACTCGCCAAAACAAACAATGTTCATAACAACAAGCCAAACTCATCAAAAGAACACTAAAACAACAGCTTAACACAAGGGTTAACTAATTCAACACATACATGCCATTACACATGCTCAAAAGCCTTCAAACTCACCAGAACAAACAATGTTCATAACAACAAGCCAAATTCATCAAAAGAACACTAAAGTAACAGCTTAACACAAGGGTTAACTAATTCAACACATACGTGTCATTACACATGCTCAAAAACCTTCAAACTCGCCAAAAAAACAATGCTCATAACAACAAGCCAAACTCATCAAAAGAACACTAAAACAAAAGCTTAACACAAGGGATTACTAATTCAACACATTCATGCCATTACACATGCTCAAAAACCTTCAAACTCCCCAAAATGAACAATGTTCATAACAACAAGCCAAACTCATCAAAAGAACACTAAAACAACAGCTTCACACTTTCATGCCATTACACATGCTCAAAAACCTTCAAACTCGCCAAAACAAACAATGCTCATAACAACAAGCCAAACTCATCAAAAGAACACTTAAACAACAGCTTAACACAAGGGATTACTAATTCAACACATTCATGCCATTACACATGCTCAAAAACTTCAAACTGGCCCAAACAAACACTGTTCATAACAACAAGCCAAACTCATCAAAAGAACACTAAAACAACGGCTAAACACAAGGGATTACTAATTCAACACATTCATGCCATTACACATGCTAAAAAATCTTCAAACTGGCCAAAACGAACAATATTCATAACAACAAGCCAAACTCATCAAAAGAAAACTAAAACAACAGCTTAACACATTCATGCCATTACACATGCTCAAAAACATTCAAACTCGCCAAAACAAACACTTTTCATAACAACAAGCCAAACTCATCAAAAGAACACTAAAACAACAGCTTAACACATTCATGCCATTACACATGCTCAAAAACGTTCAAACTCGCCAAAACGAACAATGTTCATAACAACAAGCCAAACTCATCAAAAGAACACTAAAACAACAGCTTAACACAAGGGATTACTAGTTCAACACATTCATGCCATTTCACATGCTCAAAAACGTTCAAACTCGCCAAAACAAACAATGTTCATAACAACAAGCCAAACTCATCAAAAGAACACTAAAACAACAGCTTAACGCATTCATGCCATTACACATGCTCAAAAACGTTCAAACTCGCCAAAACAAACACTTTTCATAACAACAAGCCAAACTCATCAAAAGAACACTAAAACAACAGCTTAACGCATTCATGCCATTACACATGCTCAAAAACGTTCAAACTCGCCAAAACAAACACTTTTCATAACAACAAGCCAAACTCATCAAAAGAACACTAAAACAACAGCTTAACGCATTCATGCCATTACACATGCTCAAAAACGTTCAAACTCGCCAAAACAAACACTTTTCATAACAACAAGCCAAACTCATCAAAAGAACACTAAAACAACAGTTTAACACAAGGGATTACTAATTCAACACATTCATGCCATTACACATGCTCAAAAACGTTCAAACTCGCCAAAACGAACAATGTTCATAACAACAAGCCAAACTCATCAAAAGAACACTAAAACAACAGCTTAACGCATTCATGCCATTACACATGCTCAAAAACATTCAAACTCGCCAAAACAAACACTTTTCATAACAACAAGCCAAACTCATCAAAAGAACACTAAAACAACAGCTTAACGCATTCATGCCATTACACATGCTCAAAAACGTTCAAACTCGCCAAAACAAACAATGTTCATAACAACAAGCCAAACTCATCAAAAGAACACTAAAACAACAGCTTAACACAAGGGATTACTAATTCAACACATTCATGCCACACACATGCTCAAAAACGTTCAAACTCGCCAAAACAAACAATGTTCATAACAACAAGCCAAACTCATCAAAAGAACACTAAAACAACAGCTTAACGCATTCATGCCATTACACATGCTCAAAAACGTTCAAACTCGCCAAAACAAACACTTTTCATAACAACAAGCCAAACTCATCAAAAGAACACTAAAACAACAGCTTAACGCATTCATGCCATTACACATGCTCAAAAACGTTCAAACTCGCCAAAATAAACACTTTTCATAACAACAAGCCAAACTCATCAAAAGAACACTAAAACAACAGCTTAACGCATTCATGCCATTACACATGCTCAAAAACGTTCAAACTCGCCAAAACAAACACTTTTCATAACAACAAGCCAAACTCATCAAAAGAACACTAAAACAACAGCTTTAACACAAGGGATTACTAATTCAACACATTCATGCCATTACACATGCTCAAAAACGTTCAAACTCGCCAAAACAAACACTTTTCATAACAACAAGCCAAACTCATCAAAAGAACACTAAAACAACAGCTTAACGCATTCATGCCATTACACATGCTCAAAAACGTTCAAACTCGCCAAAACAAACACTTTTCATAACAACAAGCCAAACTCATCAAAAGAACACTAAAACAACAGCTTAACGCATTCATGCCATTACACATGCTCAAAAACGTTCAAACTCGCCAAAACAAACACTTTTCATAACAACAAGCCAAACTCATCAAAAGAACACTAAAACAACAGCTTAACACAAGGGATTACTAATTCAACACATTCATGCCATTTCACATGTTAAAAAACCTTCAAACTCGCCAAAACAAACACTTTTCATAACAACAAGCCAAACTCATCAAAAGAACACTAAAACAACAGCTTAACGCATTCATGCCATTACACATGCTCAAAAACGTTCAAACTCGCCAAAACAAACACTTTTCATAACAACAAGCCAAACTCATCAAAAGAACACTAAAACAACGGCTTAACACAAGGGAGTACTAATTCAACACATTCATGCCATTACACATGCTCAAAAAACGTTCAAACTGGCCAAAACGAACAATGTTCATAACAACAAGCCAAACTCATCAAAAGAACACTAAAACAACAGCTTAACGCATTCATGCCATTACACATGCTCAAAAACGTTCAAACTCGCCAAAACAAACACTTTTCATAACAACAAGCCAAACTCATCAAAAGAACACTAAAACAACAGCTTAACGCATTCATGCCATTACACATGCTCAAAAACGTTCAAACTCGCCAAAACAAACACTTTTCATAACAACAAGCCAAACTCATCAAAAGAACACTAAAACAACAGCTTAACGCATTCATGCCATTACACATGCTCAAAAACGTTCAAACTCGCCAAAACAAACACTTTTCATAACAACAAGCCAAACTCATGAAAAGAACACTAAAACAACAGTTTAACACAAGGGATTACTAATTCAACACATTCATGCCATTACACATGGTAAAAAACCTTCAAATTGGCCAAAACGAACAATGTTCATAACAACAAGCCAAACTCATCAAAAGAACACTAAAACAACAGCTTAACGCATTCATGCCATTACACATGCTCAAAAACATTCAAACTCGCCAAAACAAACACTTTTCATAACAACAAGCCAAACTCATCAAAAGAACACTAAAACAACAGCTTAACGCATCATGCCATTACACATGCTCAAATACGTTCAAACTCGCCAAAACAAACAATGTTCATAACTACAAGCCAAACTCATCAAAAGAACACTAAAACAACAGCTTAACACAAGGGATTACTAATTCAACACATTCATGCACATGCTCAAAAACGTTCAAACTCGCCAAAACGAACAATGTTCATAACAACAAGCCAAACTCATCAAAAGAACACTAAAACAACAGCTTCACGCATTCATGCCATTACACATGCTCAAAAACGTTCAAACTCGCCAAAACAAACACTTTTCATAACAACAAGCCAAACTCATCAAAAGAACACTAAAACAACAGCTTAACGCATTCATGCCATTACACATGCTCAAAAACGTTCAAACTCGCCAAAATAAACACTTTTCATAACAACAAGCCAAACTCATCAAAAGAACACTAAAACAACAGCTTAATGCATTCATGCCATTACACATGCTCAAAAACGTTCAAACTCGCCAAAACAAACACTTTTCATAACAACAAGCCAAACTCATCAAAAGAACACTAAAACAACAGTTTAACACAAGGGATTACTAATTCAACACATTCATGCCATTACACATGCTCAAAAACCTTCAAACTGGCCAAAACGAACAATGTTCATAACAACAAGCCAAACTCATCAAAAGAACACTAAAACAACAGCTTAACGCATTCATGCCATTACACATGCTCAAAAACGTTCAAACTCGCCAAAACAAACACTTTTCATAACAACAAGCCAAACTCATCAAAAGAACACTAAAACAACAGCTTAACGCATTCATGCCATTACACATGCTCAAAAACGTTCAAACTCGCCAAAACAAACACTTTTCATAACAACAAGCCAAACTCATCAAAAGAACACTAAAACAACGGCTTAACACAAGGGATTACTAATTCAACACATTCATGCCATTACACATGCTCAAAAACCTTCAAACTGGCCAAAACGAACACTTTTCATAACAACAAGCCAAACTCATCAAAAGAACACTAAAACAACAGCTTAACGCATTCATGCCATTACACATGCTCAAAAACGTTCAAACTCGCCAAAACAAACACTTTTCATAACAACAAGCCAAACTCATCAAAAGAAAACTAAAACAACGGCTTAACACAAGGGAGTACTAATTCAACACATTCATGCCATTACACTTGTTAAAAAACCTTCAAACTGGCCAAAACGAACAATGTTCATAACAACAAGCCAAACTCATCAAAAGAACACTAAAACAACAGCTTAACGCATTCATGCCATTAAACATGCTCAAAAACGTTCAAACTCGCCAAAACAGACACTTTTCATAACAACAAGCCAAACTCATCAAAAGAACACTAAAACAACAGCTTAACGCATTCATGCCATTACACATGCTCAAAAACGTTCAAACTCGCCAAAACGAACAATGTTCATAACAACAAGCCAAACTCATCAAAAGAACACTAAAACAACAGCTTAACGCATTCATGCCATTACACATGCTCAAAAACGTTCAAACTCGCCAAAACAAACACTTTTCATAACAACAAGCCAAACTCATCAAAAGAACACTAAAACAACAGCTTAACGCATTCATGCCATTACACATGCTCAAAAACGTTCAAACTCGCCAAAACAAACACTTTTCATAACAACAAGCCAAACTCATCAAAAGAACACTAAAACAACAGCTTAACGCATTCATGCCATTACACATGCTCAAAAACGTTCAAACTCGCCAAAACAAACACTTTTCATAACAACAAGCCAAACTCATCAAAAGAACACTAAAACAACGGCTTAACACAAGGGATTACTAATTCAACGCATTCATGCCATTACACATGCTCACAAACGTTCAAACTCGCCAAAACGAACAATGTTCATAACAACAAGCCAAACTCATCAAAAGAACACTAAAACAACAGCTTAACTTATTAATGCCATTACACATGCTCAAAAATGTTCAAACTCGCCAAAACAAACACTTTTCATAACAACAAGCCAAACTCATCAAAAGAACACTAAAACAACAGCTTAACGCATTCATGCCATTACACATGCTCAAAAACGTTCAAACTCGCCAAAACAAACACTTTTCATAACAACAAGCCAAACTCATCAAAAGAACACTAAAACAACAGCTTAACGCATTCATGCCATTACACATGCTCAAAAACGTTCAAACTCGCCAAAACGAACAATGTTCATAACAACAAGCCAAACTCATCAAAAGAACACTAAAACAACAGCTTAACTTATTAATGCCATTACACATGCTCAAAAATGTTCAAACTCGCCAAAACAAACACTTTTCATAACAACAAGTCAAACTCATCAAAAGAACACTAAAACAACAGCTTAAAGCATTCATGCCATTACACATGCTCAAAAACGTTCAAACTCGCCAAAACAAACACTTTTCATAACAACAAGCCAAACTCATCAAAAGAACACTAAAACAACAGCTTAACGCATTCATGCCATTACACATGCTCAAAAACGTTCAAACTCGCCAAAACGAACAATGTTCATAACAACAAGCCAAACTCATCAAAAGAACACAAAACAACGGCTTAACACAAGGGATTACTAATTCAACACATTCATGCCATTACACTTGTCAAAAAACCTTCAAAATGGCCAAAACGAACAATGTTCATAACAACAAGCCAAACTCATCAAAAGAACACTAAAACAACGGCTTAACACAAGGGATTACTAATTCAACGCATTCATGCCATTACACATGCTCAAAAACGTTCAAACTCGCCAAAACGAACAATGTTCATAACAACAAGCCAAACTCATCAAAAGAACACTAAAACAACAGCTTAACGCATTCATGCCATTACACATGCTCAAAAACGTTCAAACTCGCCAAAACAAACACTTTTCATAACAACAAGCCAAACTCATCAAAAGAACACTAAAACAACAGCTTAACGCATTCATGCCATTACACATGCTCAAAAACGTTCAAACTCGCCAAAACAAACACTTTTCATAACAACAAGCCAAACTCATCAAAAGAACACTAAAACAACAGCTTAACGCATTCATGCCATTACACATGCTCAAAAACGTTCAAACTCGCCAAAACGAACAATGTTCATAACAACAAGCCAAACTCATCAAAAGAACACTAAAACAACAGCTTAACTTATTAATGCCATTACACATGCTCAAAAACGTTCAAACTCGCCAAAACAAACACTTTTCATAACAACAAGCCAAACTCATCAAAAGAACACTAAAACAACAGCTTAACGCATTCATGCCATTACACATGCTCAAAAACGTTCAAACTCGCCAAAACAAACACTTTTCATAACAACAAGCCAAACTCATCAAAAGAACACTAAAACATCAGCTTAACGCATTCATGCCATTACACATGCTCAAAAACGTTCAAACTCGCCAAAACGAACAATGTTCATAACAACAAGCCAAACTCATCAAAAGAACACTAAAACAACAGCTTAACGCATTCATGCCATTACACATGCTCAAAAACGTTCAAACTCGCCAAAACAAACACTTTTCATAACAACAAGCCAAACTCATCAAAAGAACACTAAAACAACGGCTTAACACAAGGGATTACTAATTCAACACATTCATGCCATTACACATGCTCAAAAACCTTCAAACTGGCCAAAACGAACAATGTTCATAACAACAAGCCAAACTCATCAAAAGAACACTAAAACAACAGCTTAACGCATTCATGCCATTACACATGCTCAAAAACGTTCAAACTCGCCAAAACAAACACTTTTCATAACAACAAGCCAAACTCATCAAAAGAACACTAAAACAACAGCTTAACGCATTCATGCCATTACACATGCTCAAAAACGTTCAAACTCGCCAAAACAAACACTTTTCATAACAACAAGCCAAACTCATCAAAAGAACACTAAAACAACGGCTTAACACAAGGGATTACTAATTCAACACATTCATGCCATTACACATGCTCAAAAACGTTCAAACTGGCCAAAACAAACACTTTTCATAACAACAAGCCAAACTCATCAAAAGAACACTAAAACAACAGCTTAACGCATTCATGCCATTACACATGCTCAAAAACGTTCAAACTCGCCAAAACAAACACTTTTCATAACAACAAGCCAAACTCATCAAAAGAACACTAAAACAACGGCTTAACACAAGGGAGTACTAATTCAACACATTCATGCCATTACACATGCTCAAAAACGTTCAAACTGGCCAAAACGAACAATGTTCATAACAACAAGCCAAACTCATCAAAAGAACACTAAAACAACAGCTTAACGCATTCATGCCATTACACATGCTCAAAAACGTTCAAACTCGCCAAAACAAACACTTTTCATAACAACAAGCCAAACTCATCAAAAGAACACTAAAACAACAGCTTAACGCATTCATGCCATTACACATGCTCAAAAACGTTCAAACTCGCCAAAACAAACACTTTTCATAACAACAAGCCAAACTCATCAAAAGAACACTAAAACAACAGCTTAACGCATTCATGCCATTACACATGCTAAAAAACGTTCAAACTCGCCAAAACAAACAATTTTCATAACAACAAGCCAAACTCATCAAAAGAACACTAAAACAACAACTTAACGCATTCATGCCATTACACATGCTCAAAAACGTTCAAACTCGCCAAAACAAACACTTTTCATAACAACAAGCCAAACTCATCAAAAGAACACTAAAACAACAGCTTAACGCATTCATGCCATTACACATGCTCAAAAACGTTCAAACTCGCCAAAACAAACACTTTTCATAACAACAAGCCAAACTCATCAAAAGAACACTAAAACAACGGCTTAACACAAGGGATTACTAATTCAACGCATTCATGCCATTACACATGCTCACAAACGTTCAAACTCGCCAAAACGAACAATGTTCATAACAACAAGCCAAACTCATCAAAAGAACACTAAAACAACAGCTTAACTTATTAATGCCATTACACATGCTCAAAAATGTTCAAACTCGCCAAAACAAACACTTTTCATAACAACAAGCCAAACTCATCAAAAGAACACTAAAACAACAGCTTAACGCATTCATGCCATTACACATGCTCAAAAACGTTCAAACTCGCCAAAACAAACACTTTTCATAACAACAAGCCAAACTCATCAAAAGAACACTAAAACAACAGCTTAACGCATTCATGCCATTACACATGCTCAAAAACATTCAAACTCGCCAAAACGAACAATGTTCATAACAACAAGCCAAACTCATCAAAAGAACACTAAAACAACAGCTTAACGTATTAGTGCCATTACACATGCTCAAAAACGTTCAAACTCGCCAAAACAAACACTTTTCATAACACCAAGCCAAACTCATCAAAAGAACACTAAAACAACAGCTTAAAGCATTCATGCCATTACACATGCTCAAAAACGTTCAAACTCGCCAAAACAAACACTTTTCATAACAACAAGCCAAACTCATCAAAAGAACACTAAAACAACAGCTTAACGCATTCATGCCATTACACATGCTCAAAAACGTTCAAACTCGCCAAAACGAACAATGTTCATAACAACAAGCCAAACTCATCAAAAGAACACAAAAACAACGGCTTAACACAAGGGATTACTAATTCAACACATTCATGCCATTACACTTGTTAAAAAACCTTCAAACTGGCCAAAACGAACAATGTTCATAACAACAAGCCAAACTCATCAAAAGAACACTAAAACAACAGCTTAACACAAGGGATTACTAATTCAACACATTCATGCCATTACACATGCTCAAAAACGTTCAAACTCGCCAAAACGAACAATGTTCATAACAACAAGCCAAACTCATCAAAAGAACACTAAAACAACAGCTTAACTTATTCATGCCATTACACATGCTCAAAAACGTTCAAACTCGCCAAAACAAACACTTTTCATAACAACAAGCCAAACTCATCAAAAGAACACTAAAACAACAGCTTAACGCATTCATGCCATTACACATGCTCAAAAACGTTCAAACTCGCCAAAACAAACACTTTTCATAACAACAAGCCAAACTCATCAAAAGAACACTAAAACAACAGCTTAACGCATTCATGCCATTACACATGCTCACAAACGTTCAAACTCGCCAAAACGAACAATGTTCATAACAACAAGCCAAACTCATCAAAAGAACACTAAAACAACAGCTT